TAAATGAAATCAGAATGAAAGTCAAGAGATTACAAATGATACTACAGTAATAAAAAGGATTATGAGAGACTACAAGTATTTGCAAAAGCCTGGATAACCTAAAAGATATTGATAGATTCCTGGAATAAATGAATGAATTAATTATAACAATGATTCTCCAAGAATGAATCATAAAGAAACAGAAAATCTAAACAAACCAGTAATGAGTAAGGAGATCAAGTTAGAAAGCAAAAACCTCTCAACACAGAAAAGCTCAGAGCGAAGTGGTTTCACTGGTAAGTTCTATGAAACACTGAAATAATTAATACCAATATTTCTTAAACTGTTTCCAAAAATATGAAGACAAAGGGAACACTTCTAAATTCATTTTATGAGGCCAACATTATCCTGATACCAATACCAGAAAACACACTAGAAGAAAATTATAGACCAATATATATGAGGAATATAGATGTAAAATTTGCAACAAAATATCAGGAAACCATTTTCAAAAACACATTTTAAAAAGTTATTCATATTAAAAAGTGGAATTTATCCCTGGGTTACATGGATGGTCCAACACATACAAAATAAATGTTATAAATCATATTGATAAAATGAGAGAGAATACCATATGATCATTTTGATAGAGACAGAAAAAGCAATTGACTAAATACAACAACATCATTTCAAATAAAAATGCCCAATATATTGGGTAAAGAAATTTCCTTAGCATAATCAAGGCCATATGTGGCAAACCCATAGCTAACATTATACTCTATAGTGAAAACTTAAAATCTTTTCCTCTAAGATCAGAAACAACACAGGGACACCCACTCTCACCATTTATATTCACCCAAAGAAATTAGGAAAGAAAAAGTAATAAAAGGCTTCCATATCAGAATGGAAGAAGTAAAATCTCTGACCACAGAAGACATAATTTTATGTATATAACCCTAAAAACTCCACTAAAAAAAAAAAAAAACTGAACTACCAAGTGAATTCAGTAAAATTGCAGATATAAAATCATCATTAAAAAATCAGGGGCACCTGGGTGGCTCAGTCAGTTGAGCATCTGGCTTCAGCTTTGGTCACGATCTCATGGCTCATGAGTTTGAACCCGCGTTGGGCTCTTTGCTGAAGCATCAGAGCCTGGAGTCTGCTTCAGATTCTGTATGTGTCTCCCTCTTTGCCCCTCACTGATCATGCATGCTCTCATACGTGCATGCTCTCTCTCTCTCTCTCAAAAATAAATAAAATTTTTAAAAAATCAGTTGCATTTCTACACACTAACAATAAACTATCTGAAAGAGAAATTAAGGAAGCAATACCACTTACAGTAGCATCAAAAACAATATAATACTTAGGAATAAATTGAACTAAGAGGATGAAAGACCTGTATACTGAAAACTATAAGACAGTGATGAAAGAAACTGATGAAGACACAAATAAATGGAAAGATATTCCATGTTCCTAATGGAAGAATGAATATGTGAAAATGTCCATACTACTCCAAATGATCGTCAGATTCAATGCAATCTTGACAAAAATTCCAATAAATACTTTTTACAAAAATAAGAAAAACTATCCTAAAATTTGTTTGAAAACAAAAAGACCCTGAATATACAAAGAAATCCTTATTACAGAAAACAAAGCTGGATATCCAGAGAAGATGGAGGAGTGTGAGGAACCTAAGCTCACCTTGTCTTACAGATACAACTAGATAACCACCAGATAATATACCTCAACATCATAAAGGCCATATATCTAAGACCCACAGCTAATAACATCCTCAATGGGGAAAACTGAGAGCTTTTCCTCTATGGTCAGGAGCAAGATAGGGGTGTCTATTCTCACCATTGTTATTTAATACAGTACTGCAAGTCCTACCTTCAGCAATCAGAGAACAAAAACAAAGAAAAGAATAGGCAAGGAAGAGCTCAAACTTTCACTATTCACAAGCCATATGATACTCTATGTATAAAACACAAAAGACTCCACAAAAATTTGCTAGAACTGATACACAAATTCAGCGAAATGCAGGAAAGAAAATCAATGTAGAGAGATCTGTTGCATTTCTATATACTAATAATAAAGCAGCAGAAAGAGAAATCAAGGAATTAATCACATTTACAATTGTCCCCAAAACCATAAGATACCTAGAAATGCACCTAACCAAAGAGGTAAAAAATCTGTACTCTGAGAACTATAAAACACTGATGAAAGACATTGAAGATGACACAAGAAAATGGAAGAACATTCCATACTTTTTTTTGGAAAAACAAACATTGTTAAAATGTCCATACTACCCAAAGCAATCTACACATTCAGTGAAATCCCTATCAAAATAACACTAGCATTCTTCACAGAGCTAGAACAATCCTAAAATCTCTATGGAACCACAAAGACACCAAATAACCAAAGCAATCTTAAAAAACCAAAGCAAAGCTGGAGTCATCACAATTCCAGACTTCAAGATATATTACAAAGCTGTAGTGATCAAGACAGTATGGTATTTGCACAAAAATAGACACACAGATCAGTGGAACAGAATAGAAAACCCAGAAATGAACCGACAACAATATGGTCAGCTAATCTTTGACAAAAGAGGAAAGAATATCCAATGGAGGAAAAATCTCTGCAACAAATGCTGCTTTGAAAACTGCACAGCAACGTGCAGAAGAATGAAACTGGACCACTTTCTTATACCATACACAAAAATAAACCAAAATAGATGAAAGACTTAAATGTGAGACCAGAAACCTTTTAAATCCTAGAGGAGTACACAGGCGGTAACCTCACTGACATCAGCCATAGCAACTTCTCATTAAATATGTGTCCTAAGGCAAGGGAAATAAAAGCAAAAATAAACTATTGAGAGTTTATCAAAATAAAAGACTTCTGCACAGCAAAGGAAATAGTCAACAAAACTAAAAGGCAACCTACAGAATGGGAGAAAATATTTACAAATGACATATCTTATAATGGTTTAGTATAAAAAATCCATAATGAACTTATCAAATTCGACGCCAAAAAAACAAACAATCCAGTTAAGAAATTGGATAAAGACATAAAAGATGTTTTTCCAAAGAAGACATTTAGATGGCTAACAGACACATGAAAAGATGCTCAACATCACTGATTATCAGGGAAATACAAATTTAAACTACAATGAAATATCACCTTACACCTGTAATTTAGAATGGCTAAAATTAACAACACAGGAGACAACAGATGTTGGCGAGGATGTGGAGAAAGGGGAGCTCTCTTGCACTGTTGGTGGCAATGCAAACTGGTGCAGCTGCTCTGGAAAACAGCATGAAGTTTCCTCAAGAAGTTAAAAATAGAATTACCCTACAATCCAGCAATCATACCACTAGGTATTTACCCAAAGTATACAAAAATACTGATTCAAAGGGACACATACACCCCAATGTTTAGGGCAGCATTATCAACAATAGTTCAGTTATGGAAAGAGCCCAAATGACCATCGACTGACAAATGGATAATGAAGTTGTGATATATGTATATATATATATGTGTGTGTGTGTGTGTGTGTGTGTGTGTGTATATATACATACATACATACAATAGAATATTACTCAGCCATAAAAAAGAATGAAATCTTGCCATTTGTAAGGAAGTGGATAGAGCTAGAGTGTATTATGCTAAGCAAAATAAGTCAGAGAAAGACAAATACTATATGATTTCACTCATAGGTGGTGGAATTTAAGAAACAAAACATAAACATAGAGGAACAAAAGAGAGAGGCAAACCATAAAACAGACTCTTAACTATAGAGAACAAACTGAGGGTTCCTGGAGGGAAGGAGGGCAGGGAATTGGTTAAATTGGTGATGGGTATTAAGGAGGGCACATGCTATGTTGAGCACTGGGTGTTGTATGTAAGTGATGAATCACTAAATTCTACTCTTGAAACTCATATTACACTATATGTTAACTAACTGAAATTTAAATAAAAACGAAGTAAAAAAGAAGTAGATAAAATAATGCAGCAAATGGATTTTGTTTCAACACACAAAAAACATCATTGAGAAGGTATGAAAACAAGCAGACAAAAAGCAGCAGCTCTGTTATGTATCAGAACTACCAGTGTATACCACATAGTTTAAAGTTGTATTGGTTTCTTAATTTATAGCAAATACAAGTACAGTGCCAACACTAATATTTAGAGATAGGGTTTTAATAGTCTTATCCCACCAAAGCATCAATTGCCCTGTAATTGGAAGAAATTAACCCCCCCAAATATTTTAATGCCCTTGTATTAAATCCAAGCACTTCTCTATTATTCTTAAATCACATATTTATATTTTATGCATGTGTGTGTGTGTGTGTGTGTGTATGTGTGTGTGTGTGTGTTATTCCACAAGAAAAAGGAGTTATGGAGGGAGGGAAGAATGAACACGTTTGAATATTGCTACATGATACTAAAAAATTTGAATAATATAAGAACATACAAATGTTCATTTTAGTAAAAGAGCCAAAATTGGTCACCTTGGTTGCAGATATTGCGTTAGAGTCATGGGATTGGAAGTCAGACAGCAGCAGTGGAAGAATGGATGAGAGGTAAGTAGAGAGTACAGAAAATGTTTCTTCAAGAAGTACAACTGTGAAGAGGACAAAGGATTTAAGGCACTATTTGGAGGCAGGATTTTAAAACTTAACATGGGAGGTTCTTGATCACATTTAAATGCTAATGACACAGAGCCAATAAAAAGGGACAAGATCTAAGAGAGAAAAAAGACAACTAAATGCAAATGGTTGGAGAGAATGCTCTTAAGATGTTACAGAGGGAATTTAAACATGGGCTAGGAAATTGCTCAAGAAGACTTTTGAGATTTCTTTCTACCTTGAGAGTCTGAGCTGATGATATTTTTAAAAATACAACGTAATGTCTAACTATCAGCAATTGGAGTTCATCTGGGAATAAAATAAAAAGTTCTGGTCTAAGGCAAGAATTTATCACAGTTTTCTTTTGTTCTAGAACTTAAATGTTCTTACCCGCCAATATCCTGCTTCACAAAGTCCCCAGGTTCTTGTCGTCTTGATTCCCCTTGGCCAGTTGTTCCAGGAAAAATATTAATCAGGAAAAGAATCCCAAGGCTGGTTGTGTAGAAGTGACTCATTTCTGTGACTATCATCGTTTTAGGCACCAACTTGGAGAGACCTGTGAGATTTATGTTCAAGGAAAATAAGAAGGAGAAGGGGTAGAAGACAAAAAAGAAAAAGGGAAAAAATATTTTATTTGACTCTATTAGAGCCATTTAACTTCCCTAGTATCCAGTTACTAAATGACAGTCCCTTTCCCCAGTTCATCAATGCCACCAAAATTTACTCCCAACGTACTCCTTTCTTGAATATTCCAAAGCCCATCTAGGAAAGAGTAAAGAGATCTAAATTAGTAATACGGAGTCTTAGGTTACAGTTTCATTTCTTTCCTTGTCTTCTCTCAGCTGCAGTTATTTTTTCTTAATTCAAGAGTTTAAAATAATCGCCCATGTCTTCATTTTATTTTCCTCCAATCACATTTTATATTTACTATCACAAATGCCTTTGCCATAGTTAACTGTGGAATATTGTAGGAGATATTAGAATTTTAAGACCTGAACTTTATAACATTTTGGGGAGTGATTCTCATTTTGATACAATTAAGTAACTTTCCTAAGTATCAAATGGCTTGAAATAGATGAACTGTTTCCTCTGAATCAGGTTGAGAATATGCTGAATGATGAAACACTATGGCTCTTGAATATAAATGTAATGTTTCCCCATTGAAAGATATTTGAGAGCAAAGTCAGCCCCATATAGGAACCACAACATAACGAAGAAATTCAAGTCTATCCTCTTGGTACAGAAGACCCTAAAAGGTCAGAATATTATAGTGATGATAGAATTATGTGATTTTTGAGTTGCCTATGTGCAAGGATATTTTATGATCTCTGGAATGGTGGGTGTTTACCTAAGACATGGGGTTATGAAAACAATATAAAGTGGTACTTTCTTGCCATCTGTGAACCTTATGGCTTCCTTGAGTCTGAGACACTGACCTCTTCCAGGATACCTAATTCTGACCCAACACCATACTCTTTTTAAGTCCTATCAGTGGTCTAAATTACAGTGAGAATTGAAGGATATAAAACTATTTTTCCAAGGAAAGATTATGCAAGGGACTAATTTGTAAAACAAATACATGCTGGAGAGCTATTATGGTTGATAAGAAAATGAAGAAGTCTTTTTAAATGTATCCCACCCCCCAAAAAGGAGCCATTAGGTTCTATACTCAGCTGTCTTCTTGAATCTTTGTGATGAGAAAAAAAAAATCTATTTTGAGTTGCTGCCTAGGCATTTTACAGTACGACAACACTGCTCATACCCAAAGTCTGGACATTTAAAGTTTATTCATTTATGTTTAGAGTGGGGGCAGGGGGACAGGCAGAGAGAGAGAGAGAGAGAGAGAGAGAGAGAGAGAATCCCAAGTAGGCTCCATGCTGTCAGCCTGAAGCCATATGCAGGCTCAATCTTATAAACCATGAGATCATGACCTGATCAAAAATCAAGAGTCCAATATGCTTAACTCACTGAGCCAACCAGGCGTCCCAAGTCTGGACATTTATATAAGGACCCAAGCTTAGGATTTCCACCAGAAGTTCCTGTTTTGCTTTTACCAGGGCATTTTTTAAAAATAACCAATTAGAATTGAGCTCACAAAAAGTTAGTGATCTCCATCTCAACCACCTCAAGTACCAATAGGCAGTTGTGACCTTGCTTTCTATCTCTTCCAAGCTTGTGACCTAGGAGGAAAAACTGTCCTTCCCCCAGCGCATTTCACTTCCCTGTTCTAGAATTTGTAAGTAAATGAATCTTGTGACTTTCTTTTGTGTGAATGTATTAAAACTGCACCTGCAATCAAAACAACCTGAGGGTTTTCACTTCTGCAGTGTAGAAGGTTGTATGCTGATGGAGCTACCTGTTGACCTTGTGTGGGTGATCCATGCCTCTTCATTTATCAGATCATAATCTGCATATTCTTAATTTAATACACCAACTACGGGTCTCCCTCAACAGAATCTGGTACACATATAGAATACTATGATACTGGAGAAGATGAACTTCTGACTTGAAGAGATGTCCACATTACAGATAGAAATAGTCATTATATTAGATTGTGTCATATAAAATTACCAATATTTGACAATGTTTGCTTTACAAATGCGGCAATTTTTTCCTTTTTAAAATAGTTTATTGTCAAGTTGGTTTCTATATAACACCCAGTGCTCATCCCCACAAGTGCCCTCCTCCATGCCCATCACCCACTTCCCCTCCCCCCCACCCCCATCAGCCCTCAGTTTGTTCTTGGCATTCAAAAGATAGTTGCAAATAACATATCAGATAAAGGGCTAGTATCCAAAATCTATAAGAAACTCACTCACCAAACTCCACACCCGAAAAACAAACAGTCCAGTGAAGAAATGGGCAGAAGACATGAACAGACACTTCTCCAAAGAGGACATCCAGATGGCCAGCATACATGAAACGATGCTCAGCATCCTTCCTCATCAGGGAAATACAAATCAAAACCACGCTGAGATACCCACCTCACACCAATCAGAGTGGCTAAAATGAGCAAATCAGAGGACTCTAGATGCTGGCGAGGATGTGGAGAAACGGGCACCCTCCTACACTGTTGGTGGGAATGTAAACTTGTGCAGCCCCTCTGGAAAGCAGTGTGGAGGTTCCTCAAAAAATTACCAATAGAGCTCCCCTATGACCCAGCATTAGCACTGCTAGGAGTTTACCCAAGGGAATACAGGAGTGCTGATGCATAGGGGCACATGGACCCCAATGTTCATAGCAGCACTCTCAACAATAGCCAAAACATGGAAAGAGCCTAAGTGTCCATCAACGGATTAATGGATCAATAAGATGTGGTTTATCTATACCACGGAATACTACATGGCAATGAGAAAGAATGAAATCTGGCCATGTGTAGCAACATGGATGGAACTTGAGGGTGTTATGCTGAGTGAAATCAGTCATTCAGGGAAGGTCAGATACCATATGTTTGCATGTATAGAAGGATTAGGAGGAACCATGAAATGGAGCAATTTTTCATGGTCAATCTAATATGTGGGCTGTGATATTCATGATTCATTAACTGTACAAGAGTTGATGGTCATTTTACAGAAATGAACAGAAACAGTACAACTCAGAAAACCATAACATATAGTTAAGAAATTATGGTGCATGAGCAGATGATTCTGGGTCATGAGAAACATCTGTAGTATGAACAGTATGATATATGCTTGAACACCCACAGAGCTTTAGTATAATCTATGATTATATGATAAATGTTAATGTTCAAACAATCATGATCAAATTTGACAATTGCTCTACAGGAACAAAGAGACTTGGTATTGTATATGGGGCCAAATTGTGAAAATAATCCATGGAATATATGACAGAACTATGATGGATTCTCAGAAAACATAAGTACATGAGCAACAATCCTGGGTATAGGAAAAGACAGTCATGCTATATGAGCAAAGAGACCTATAGTGTGTTTCAACTATACTATCCTACTATATACTATGGGTTATGATAATGGTAGACAAGCATCTATTTTTAGTCCATCTATTTTTAATCTCACTATGAATAGATGTCAGTGACACAGAAGCTAATGTCCATGATTTAGAAGGAGAAAACTGATATACAACAATGTTATATGAACTTGGACTAAGGTACATGTTCACATAACTATGAGAAGATAGCCATCATCTATAGAAGAGATTAGAGATATTCCAACTACCATAACATTTTGTTAATAAACATCATTATTATAATGCATGTGAATACATTTATGGTATAAAACCATTTGACCACAGCATGTGTCAGAAAACCATAGCACATGAGCCTAATAATCACTGAACAAGAGAACAGGGCCTTCTTAAACATTTCCTTAAGACATTATACATGATCAGAAGCATGCCACTGGACTGTGGCACAACAGTGTGAATATACTTACCACTACTACTAAACTGCACATTTAAAATGGTTAAGATTTGTTATGTGCTTTTTAATACAATTAATTTTAATTAAAAAATGCTACTGGGACAGGTAGCCTTAGCAAGTTAGCAAATACCTACAAAACCGACCCCATCCCTACTATGTATATAGATTAATGTGGCATATTAGCAGATATTAGGATTAAATGAACATACGTCCATGACACATGCTCAGATGACCATCAAACAAATGCAAATAAGTACTGTAGGACATCAGATCCTTAAGATTATTCTTTTTTTTGTTTTTTTTGTTGTTGTTGTTTTGTTTTTTTTACAAATAGTTTATTGTCAAATTAGTTTCCACATAACACTCAGTGCTCATCCCCACAAGTTTCCTCCTCCATGCCCATCCCTCCTCCCCCCCACATCCATCAGTCCTCAGTTTTTGTCAGCATTCAAGAGTCTCTCATGGTTTGCCTCTCTCTCTTTCCCTCACCATTTCCGCCCTTCTTCTCCCCCTTGTTCCTCCGTCAAGTTCCTCCTAATCCTCCTATACGTGCAAACATATGATATTTGTCCTTCTCTGCCTGACTTATTTCGCTCAGCATTAACACCCTCAAGGTCCATCCATGTTGCTACACATGGCCAGATTTCATTGTTTCTCATTGCCATGTAGTATTCCATGGTATAGATAAACCACATCTTCTTGATCCATTCATCTGTTGATGGACACTTAGGCGAATCTTTAAGATTATTCTTATGACAAACTTGTTGAATTTTCAGTGACCATAGTGCATAAACTAAAAACTGTAACACTTAAAGAGCCTTCAGCTGGAGGCTTTAGCTGCAGACAACTAAAGTATGCTTATACAACCATGATGTGTGTGAAGAGGTATCTGGCATATCAGTCCTTAACCATGATATGTTCATACAGAATGTGTGTATCATAGCAACCATGATCAGGAATTAAGTGACATGGTTTAGGAGCAGATGTCCATGCTAGTCAAGTGGACTGCATGGCACAGAACAGAAGGCTATGGTCCAACAGTAGGCAGGCATGCTCAATTTTTTTTTTTCACTAGAGCAGAGGGATAAGATACAGATGCAAGTGGCCACATGAAGAACTGATACTTTTAGTTATCATGACCAATAGTGAATAAATAGC